TGCCAGTCAATCTATGGAGGACGACAGAGGCAAGTAACTTAGAGGCAATGAAGATCAGACTGATTGCTCTATGACCGCCAAATTCGGAATGGGAGCCTCCCTTGAGAATGTTCTCTATAACAGAGTGGCCGCAGTCTGTTGGGAGTCTCCTGCTCCTACAGATTCATCAGTAAGTTATGCAAATCATCCATAAGAAGAGCAGTTCCCTCGAATTTGAAGAGGGCTGGATGAACTCCATCTGCTCCCGCAACCTTGTCCAATTTCAACCGTCTAACCTCATGTTTGATTTCTGCGCGCGAGGGCGGATCCAGGGAGAACGGCGATCAATGGCTGATAGAGAAAGCTGGTAAGTCTGAAGGATTAAAGTGCTTCTCAAAATATCCGGTCAAACGCTTCAAGCGTCTTGACAAGTTGTGGATTTGTTATCCACACTCGCCGCGTATGGTCACGCTAACACCAGGTCTTTTGCTGCTTATTTCTCGTATCATACGGAATACCTTACGATGGTTACCAGGGGCAGCAGCTGCCTGCATCTCCGATGCATGATGAGACCACCAGGCTTCAAGGTCTCTCTTCAAGTCGGCACGCAGACTAGGCCTGGGATCTTTGCGAGTCTCACTGTCTTCGCTTCGAGCCGGAATACGTCCGCGAGCATCGATAAGTTCCAGAAACTGCGTAGAGATTCAATGTCCCAGTTAGTAATCTGATTCGTGTATTATTATTCCTCGACATATTTACCGTTGCCAGTATACTTTCCCTGTTCTTTATAGTTCCAGCTCTCGTCTACATTCACAGACGAATAAAGCCTGAATTTCCAGGTCCTGATTCTTTACTCGTTGGTCTCTCTGGCGGTCTATCATACTACAATGTATTCGTCTATGGACCGTTTTCTCAGACCAGACCGTTTCGAGGTTGATCCCAATGCTCTGGATGCACAAAGGCAGTGGACTAACTGGTACCATACCTTTTGTAATTTTTGGACTCTATTGAAACACAATCCTGATAAGCGAAAAAACCTGGTAAACTACATAGCCCCATCAGTCTTCGAATATACCAATGAGTACCAGCTTCGACGAATCCATACACGCACTAGAGCTTTTATATCAAGCTTAAGAATGAATTTTCCGCGCACCACATTTTAGCTACCAGCAAACAAGACAGCGGATCTAACCTAGACCAGTTCGCCCAGAAACTCAAAGTCATTGCTAAGGACTGCAACTTCAAGGTAGGCAGTGCGGAGGAAAATCGTGATGGCGACACGCGCGACGACTTCATTACTGGATTACTCTCTTCAGAGTCGACAGCGCGTACTGGAACACGGCGCGTTAAACTTTCAAACTGCATTTGCTTTAGCGAGGTTCCTGGAAATGGAACACCAGAACTCTGTTACCATAATACATTGTTTTCCCCAACCATGCGCATCAATGTCCAACAAACCCGAGTCACCTCACTTGTTTACAAAATCTTCACCTCCGCCTCCATCATCACCATCACCACAAATTGCCGTTGCATCGAACAAAAAGGGCTACTTTTGTGGTTTACCTCGACATCCGCGGCTAAAGTGTCCGGCTCGCGAGATAGTCTGCACGAATTGTGGTAAGGGATATTTCAAGGAAGCTTGTTTGTCGAATCCATCCAAGAAGAATACTTCTCAGACAAGCTCACTTATTTCTTACTCTACGATCGCAGCTGCCCTGGTTGCTTAATGCGAGCTATCACCAGGATACAGATTAGCGGTCCTGAACTGGAAGCGCTGATTGATACCGGCAGTACCGAAAGCTACGTCTCTGCAACTGTTGCTCACAAGGCGAAATGGAAGATTACTCCGTCGCGCACGCGAGTATCTATGGTTTCAACTCAAGTGCAGATGTGCACCGTGGGGCATTGCAATGTACCGGTCACATACAAAAAAGACGTGTAAAATGTCAGACCTTCCGTGTTACAGAATGTGTGCTCAGAAGTCTTGCTCCCTCAATTATATGAGAAAATAGAGAATCCGTTCGGTGGTAAGGAACTGTCTGTTTGCAGCCTCACCAGCGCAAAAGTTGAAGCCCCATTAGTCTTCCGTAACTGTGCACCGGAGTGCAAGCCCATAGCGACGAAGTCCAGACGGCACAGTCCCATTGACGATACTTTCATTCGTTCCGAAATAAACCGTCTCATACAGGGTAACATCATGGAGCCATCTTTTTACCATGGAAAGCTCAGGTGCTAGCCACTACTAACGAAAGGCACAAACGACGAATGGTCGCAGATTACAGACAATAAACCGGTTCACCCAACTCGACGTTTATCCTCTTCCTAAACTGCACGAAATAGTCCAGAAGAACCCTACGTTTGATACATTCAGTACCTTGGATCAAGAGTGCTTACCACCAAATCCCCACCAAAGCGGAGGAAGGACCGCACACAGCTTTTAGGGTCTGCGGCAAACTCTACAATTGTGTCGTATACCTTTCGGAGTAACCAATGGCGTCTCTTGCTTCCAAAGGACCACTGATGAAATTATCGCCAAGGAAAAGCTAACTGATACGTTTGCCTAAATAGACGTCACCATTTATGGAAAATATGTTGTCGAACATCGGCAGAATTTGGATCGTTTTTGAACGTTGCTTCCAACTACGGAATAACCTATAATGACACAAAAAGCGTGTTCGCGGTCCAACGGGTTAGGCTTCCGAGGTATGAGATCTCCAAAGGAATAATTAAGCCCGACCCTGAACGACTGAGGTCTTTGAAAGAACTGTCTCCTCCCACTGACATCAAGGTGCAACGGCGAGTGGTAAGGATGTTTGCTTAGTACTCCCAATGGATACCACAATATTCTGACCAGATCAACCAACTCGCTCACAACACGGAATTCCCCATACCACCATATGTCGAGAAATCCTTCGAAAATCTAAAGGAGGAGCTGAAAAGCCCGTACTTATCACTGCTGACCCTAATGTGCCGTTAGTGGTCGAAACGGATGCTTCTGATGTAGCTATGTCAGCTACCTTAAACCAGAACGGAAGACTAATAGCCATCTTTTCGCGCACCTTATCTCCCATTGAGTGGCGACATTTATCAGTGGAAAAGGAAGCCTATACTATCGTGGAAGCTGTGCGAAAATGGCGAAAGCTACCGCTTGGTAACCATTTCAAACTGGTCACAGATCAGCGCTCTGTCACCTTCATGTACAATAGTATGAATCAGAAAAGTAAAAACAACAAAATACAGCGCTGGCGGCACGAACTTGTGCCCTCTCATTACGATGTTATATACCGACCCGGCAAATTCAAGAATGGAGCCGATACATTCTCACGTACCTGTTGCAGCAGTTCGTCTGGCAACCTAAACCTAAAACAATTCCATGACTCTGTGTCACCCGGGCATAACTCGCATGCTCCATTTCGTCCGCGCCAAAAATTTTCCTTATTCTGTAACCGAAATCAAGTCAATGATTTCAAATTGTACTATTTGTTGTGAGTTGTAACCAACGTTTGTGTAGCCCCACTGGGCCAACTTGTGAAAGCAACCCAACATTTTGAGCGCCTGTGTTGATTTTAAAGGCCCGGTTCCCTCTAACTCCCGAAACCGCTACCCATTAACAATCGTGGATGAGTATTCTCGTTTTCCATTCGCTTTTGCATGTGCTGACTTATCCTCTTCCACTGTTATTAACTGCTTCTGTCAACTCTTTTCGATGTTTGGGTTGCCAGCCTACATTCACTCAGATAGAGGTTTCTCTCTCATGTCCCATGAACTGCGTAATTTTTTTCACAACAAGGGAATAGCAACGAGCCGAACAACCGATTATCACCCACAAGCTAATGGGCAGGTTGGACTTCTGAACGGGACAAATATAGAGCCAATTCTCTCGACCTACGCTCTCGCGACCTCCCAGATGATCAATGGGAGACCGTTGTACAGGACGACTTACATTCAACTCGATCACTTCTGTGTACTGCAACAAACGTAACTCCGCAAGAGATTTTTCAGGCATAATCGAAGGTCTTCGTCTGGCTTCGCCAACTCTACCTGGCTGTCATCATCGGGTCCTATCTTGTTAAAAATACGTCCGATCCTCCAAGTCCGACCTACTTGTGGAACAAGTGGCTTATAGAGTGCAACGCTAAGTATGCACATGTTCGACCATCAAACGGAAAAGAGGAGAACGTTCCAATTCAACAACTGGCCCACATGGGTGAACACCCACTCGAAGAAGACGACACGAGTAATACCGGTTTAGAAGCGATCGCACCCCGACATGATGTACACACTTGCTTACACGACGAAGGGAACACGATTCCAGGTCATTGTCAACCAAACATTACCGAAACGCCGTCTAAAAGGAGCGGACTTGAGACCCAGCAACAGCACGTGCGTCCATATTACTTCAGAAACCGAGAAGTTTAAACACTAGCTTTTTTTACTTCCGTGAAACATTAATGCACACGAGGCAAACATGTCCAGCAACACAATCCACTTTTGTTATGCACACGCTTCAAAACTTAGGTGGGGTAGAATGTGGTATTACTCCTCTCCATATTTATCGCTGCCAATACACTTTCTCTGTTCTGTATACTTCAGCTCTCGTCTACATTCACAGACAAATAAAGCCTGTACGGGCGTCAATAGGTTAGTTTGGCTTAAGAAGCTGCAGAAGACCCTGTAATGGCGCTACAACCCTTCTTAACGATTTTCTCAAGTGTATCTGACAAAATAGCGGGTAGGCGGATCGGTCGGTAGTTAGTCACTTTGCTTTGGTCACCACCTATCTGAATTGGCTTTACGACTGAACATTTCCATTCGCCCGGTAATGAACCAGTGGATAGTGACAAGATGAACAGTTGTCAGGTTAACAAAAAAGTTAGCGAAATCATATGGCCTAGTGAGGCACCGACGGGGGTGACAAGCAGGCAATCAGCTAGGGGATGGAAGCTGCGACAAACGGACAAGTTGATTGCTTCACAATGGGTAAACACGACAGTGGTGGGTTGTTCAGACTGAAAACTTACTTGAGACATCAGGTAAAGGATAAATCCGATGATGTGGACAATCACGTGCGCAACAACATGGACGAGAATGTTGGATGCTCCAATATATCCGTAACGAATACTGGCAAGTGTCAGCTGAATCAAACTGAGAGGTCCACAGATGAGATAAAGTTGCCACAAGCGCAGAGGTATCATGGTGTAAATAAGGATAATCAACTGTATGGAAGAGCTTAAGTTAAATGCCAGAGAAGCAGGAGGTTGATCCACCGCAAAGGGTAGAAGTGCTAGAAGAACGCAGAGGCAGGAATAGAGCCCGCTTATCCACAAATAATGTTTTTTGAAAAACTCTCTGACAAAGCTGGAGCCCAACGAAGCAACAGATATCAGAAGCTCGCAGGCAAGACCCAGTAGAAAGAAAATCCATTGAGGAGGTCGTGTGATGCCGAAGAACAACATCCAGACGACACACTCCATGGCAATGAAAGTGATACCAAAGCGAAATCTTCCCTTTGCTCGTGGGAAAGAGCACTCCGAGTAGAATGATTCCAGGAGATCAGAATCAAACCTAAGGTTCAGTATGCCCCCAGAGCAGCGATCAAATAAGTAGAATCTGCGCTTGCCAGGTGACTTCGACAACATTATCGCCGATTAGGGAGAGTGGGGAACTGCACGGACTTAAAGGAACGGGAAAAATGTGGTTTGACTGCGAATAACGTTTTATGGCACAAGCACAGGTAACGTATGCCATTTTTCCTCTAAATTAAAGGTCTTTCCAACCCTACTGCACGTCTTATAAACCACAACTAACGTTCTAAAATCCCTTCGGACGTTTGCAAACTACTTTGAACCTTTTTCGAACCACAAATAAGTACAAAAGATCATGAGGTCATTGGATTGTAGAACGCAGGAGGAAAGTCCTTTGTCGGCACCTTCACTGTGGCAGTTGCCAGTTAATTTAGGGAAGTGTTCCGTTCTACGCGTTGGTCCGAATGACCCGCCGACGCGTTATTTGTTTGGCGGCAACGAGGTACCGCGAGTTCAACTCCAATCTGACCTCGGTGTTTTGCTGTCATCTGACTTCAAGTCCAGTGAACACTGGAAGACAGCTGCTCGTAAAAGCTTCAACATGTTGTGGATGATCCGCAGGTCATTCGGGATCATGACCACCGACATGTTTGTTAGACTATTTTCGGTTTTTGTAAGGCCGCACTTGGAATACTGCGTCCAGGCTTGTCCTCCATGCCTGGTTCGTGATAAGATGGCAGTTGAACGAGTCCTGCAGTCCGGGACGAAAATGGTGTACGACTTAAAGAAGCTGACGTACCCGGAGAGGCTACGTAAGTTGGATATGTTTTCCGTGTATTACAGGCGGCTTCGGGGCGACTTGATCCTTACATATCGTATATTGATGGGTCAGATTGGTCCTGATTTGACTGGACTGTTTCGCCCAACTCGAATGCCAAGCCTTCGTGACCACCCATTAAAGTTGCACAAACCCCGGTCTGACCGGGTTTTGGCAACTTTTAGATTAGCGCGTAGGGTTATATCTTATTGGAACACATTGCCTGCAGACGTCGTGATGGCACCGACGTTGAAAGAGTTCGAGCATAGACTTGACGCTCTCGGTCTGCAGTTTAAAGTCTTCCCCTTCGTGTCTTAAACTTTTCTTCGTCTATTACGGCTTACGCTTCTTTAACTCATTTTAACTTACATTAATATTGCCTACGATATTAGATTAGCTGGTCTTCTCTGTTTTCGTTTCTTTACTGACACTACTGTTTTCTTTTATTCTTCACGTGGCCGGCACAGCGAGGACTGCTAGTGCAGGGCACGTGGGCATTGTTTGGTTGACCATATGAATCGTGTGTGTTGATTTGGCTCTCCTTTGGCACATCAAGGCACCGGTTTCCCTGTTGGATCAACGACGTTTTCGAAGGTGGAACATTCGCGGGATTTTCCTACTGTTCCGGTCCCAATTGAACTTGAACTTGAACTTGAGTAGATACGAAACGATATTCCACAAGGGTCCATGACAGCTATACTAGAAGACACTAGGTCCCAGCATAATCATCAAGTGAAAATCCAAATGTCGCTTGGAAACTTCCGCAGTCTGCGCGTCGACTACCTGCTTCGGCAAGTCGTTCCGGGGCATTTAAAATGCCGGTTGATAGAGCGAGAGTAGAGCTAACTGTCTTTGGGTTTAAATGGTTTCCAGCTATTCCCCCGAGTGGATTTATTAGTGCTGACTTGAAAGAGCGCATGTATCTCCATCCGCATTTCCCCAAATGAATTTGCCTAATAAGAACAGCTCACCTCTATGTTGATGGTAGTCCAGGGAGAACAGGTGCATCCGCTGTAGGCGAAGAGGGTAAGGCAAGTCCCTTATCTCCAGTATGAATTTCGAAGTACGCCGCTTGACCTTCTCAATCATATCACACTAGTAGTCAGTAAGCAGAGAGGTGTCGTGCAGTCCGTATTCAAACCCGGGCGCACATGGGAGGTAAACAGGATTCTGAAGATTTTTACAGCCTGTCGCGAGAAGGCTGTCTGTGGGGAATAGGACATCCTGTGGCAGTGGCCAACTACAGCAGTGCGTCTTCTGTGGTCCGTAAATCATGTGAGACCAGCACATCGAGATATTCCTCAAGCATGGTGCTTCTGCATAACACTCTAATAATATGGTATGTCCCGAACGGTTCAGGGGCGCCTTGGAGGGAAATGTGCATTTTCACGATTTATGGGCAATTTCCAGTGGGCTGACCAGTCGTGTAGGGTGGCCAATGATGCGTGCAATCTGTCAGCATCCTCGAGAAGGGATAACTACATTCATAACTTCATGTCCTCGGCGTTTATCAGGCAATCCATCAGAAGCGCCGATGGGAGGTTACTGATACATATCTTGAACGCTTCTGGACCAATTATCGACCCTTACGGAACACCGATAGTCATGCGCACAGGAGCGGAGTAGGCCCTGTTCACCTTCACAAGCAGGTCCAAATATCCAAAAAAGCAGCCAACCAAAAAACCATTCCCAGAGACCCCGGTAGCTCGGGGTTTAAACCGGGGCCTTTCATGAACGGAAAAGTAGTAAGAGCCGGTAAATGTTCCTCTGTAGCTATACTTGCTTACCTGGTTGTATTTTGTTACACTCGCTACGTACTTACTCTGTCGTGCGGGTACCAAGTCCTTACTTCGCGGTTCGACTGTTGTGCTTTTGTGAAAGGTTCGCATAGCCAGCCGGGAGGAAACGTTATTACTTTTTTGGCTCACTTGACTTACCACGACCGCCACTCGGACCATTGCGTACTATAAACACGGCGTCGCAAGCGGTTAGAGTTCTCGGCTACTCCGTCGGTCGTTGCAACGCATTTCACCCTATTTTCCGCATCGCGCTATGTAACCGCATGGAGACACCCTGTGGACATCTTTCTCCGACCGGTGCCGATAGAGATACATTTTGTCCATAGCCTTTCCTGCTTGGACACTAAGGTGCGTGATGTGATGACAGCTGTCAGTCTTCCTCTTGATGTGCCGGAATAGGAAGAGTATAGGCAGCGATTAAGGTTTTCCATAAACGAGTACTCAACAACACGCGGTCTCTACACACGTTCATTGTAGCCAGTCGAATTATGTCGCTTAGTGCACGGATCCACAGCATACAGTATGCGCTAGCACGCGCCGGTGCTTGCCCGGCATCACTCGCAACCAGCCAAATCGGACTAGCCCTCCAGAATCCGCTAGCACTATCCACACGGCTAACGCCATCCGGAACATTCCATCTATACTCCCACGTAATTCACTGCATGCTGCCCATGCGCCCCTGGGTCTGGCTTCCCAGGGTCAACGACACCAGTTTCGGGTTAAGAATTGGCTGTCTGAGCATCGAAAGCCATATGGTCTTCTAACGCCAAAGGATATTTCCCACGCGAACGATTTCGGGACAGTCGTTCTACAAACCAGCCTGCCCCAGTTTCTGTGCGTCCCTATACAGGACATATCACCTACTTGAGACAGTTCTATTCAGTCCCCAACACCTATATATAGCATAACCGATTCAGCCATCATTTCTGACTGCATGGTACAGCCATGTATGTCAACTGTTCACATAGAGTGTGCGGTACATTTGCAAGTTCAATCGTGGGAACAGCTGATAGACAATATGGATACTCTGCATTGCACGTTGGATGTTGTGTCCCTGCATTGCTGACGTTGTGCCACAACGACGTTTAACACCTAATACCTTTTAGTTTTGACCAGCGAAATGTATTTATCAAAAGATGCTGACTCAGACTCCGTAGCGCAATGGGCGCTGCAGTATCCGCCATCCTACGACCACGCTCCACCACACTCTTACACCATTTCTCTTGCTTATCCCATGGTTTTTCAAAAGAATTCGAGGCTATCCGAAGATTTGGAATACTGTCGCACGAATTGGGTCACGTAAAGCGAGACCGCGAACTTTACATGTCCTAACGCACCGCCAGTTGGTCTCGTCTTAACAGTTATCTGGATTCCTGATCTATTCCATCCCAATACCTTGGTGGCCAGGAAAACTTGTCTATCCATCATGATCCTTGTCCACCCGGTGCGTTGAAGACGACGCACATGCGCCGGATGATGATGCAGCGTTTCTCGATTACCAGGTAGGATTTTGTTACACTCTACGAACATACCCTTCCGTGTGATTACCAGGTTGGCATTTCTCGGGTCGGCTTCTGTGCTGTGGGGAAAGTTATGCATAACAAGCCGCGTGGTAACAATAGCTCTCTATGTCCGTTCACCTGACGTACACCCAACCCAGCACAACGCCAGGAAAAAGCATGTTACTTCATGACGAAATCATCCGGTAGCCACGAATTCCTGTTACAAAAGGAATAACTCATCTGGTTATAATTAATTACAAACAACATTTATATACTATTGCTCAAAGTGTGGCAAAATTCGCAAATTTATTTCACCCTTATTACTGGGACATCATGGACCTGAATGCATTTCTTATAATTCGTGGCAGTTCAACAGCGTACCAGGTCCTGAAGCGACCGTGTAGTGATTCTGTATCCGTTGCACCGTCATCACGGTATTATGCTAACTTGTGAGTGGTCGTTACGGCATTTCCCTTTACTTCCTTTTATTCTTCTCCGGCACTTTTTCCGTCTCACTTTTGTGCTGCCTTAGCTGCTTCCCTTACGTCGGCCTTTTACTGGGACGTTGTGAATCCAGCTGTCCACCAGTTATTTATTTTGTGTTGCAGCTCTAAGGTTCGAGTACGACCCTGCGTAGTGTTTGGATAAAGAAAAGCTGGGAACGCCGGACCGGACAAATAATACAATTCCAAATATAAGGTGGTGCCATTGTACCTCAGGCGGCCATTGATGCTTCCACGTTTTTCAGACGAAATACCCACGGGAATTTCCTGCGATGCCTGTCTAACTTGAACTTGTACAAATAATACACTAAGCCCTCTTAATCCTCCTACTTTATCCTGCTACTTAAGGTCAGAAAGACAGGCTGTATTATTCCGCCTCAACTTCGAGTAACTTTTTGGGATTTATACAGCTTTGTATTTCTCGTAAAGCACGCTTTTGCTTCTGTTACCTTAACACCGTATTTGTCCTCCTTTTACAAAATTCGGCTAGCCGAACAATCTCTTCGTGGTGCCAGCTGGGTGGTTCGGGTTTTACCCGTTCCAGCAAATAGTTCGGCGGCAGTGTTCCAGGACATGGTGGGTTTTCGCCTGGCAAGCGTTCTCCCTATAAAAAGTCACAAATGTCTGCTTAACAACACTGTGACGCGGCGGTCGTGACTCGCCACAAAATAAAGTCACTGCCGCGGGGGATATCCGAATAATCCTTTCCAACGCACGGACATCCATCTTCTACTCGAGCATTGCCGACGATTTGAGAGTGAAAATTAGAGCAGCACAGTTACAAACAGGAACCTCACAGTTACACACCCACACACACAGCTACATAATTACATACCCCCTACATAAACATACACTGGTACG